ATTAAAAGAATAATTTGTTTGCTAACATTTTTACAGCGGACAATTAAAAGGTCAAGGCGAATGTACTTTTACGATAACGAGTTATAAATTCTGACCTCAATTGGACTTTTCCACTGGAAACATACTGGATGTGGAAATACGCTCTAAGGCAAACTTAAATCCTTTATTTGACTTGTTAATTTACGTGCTCCACAACAAGCCCGCTTCGCTTGCTCTTTGACTTTGAGCTATTATAATAAATTTACACATGTATTAAGTTTTATTAAAACAACCATATTACGAATTATTCGACTTTATATAAATTATATAATATACAATACAGATTTCATAGTTACACCACAATAAAACCAAGCAATTAATGTTGTAGAATTTAATTTTGGGTTCGAATATATATCAAATTTTTCGTGAAGAAAATTCGGTAATTATTATTATAAAGAATTATTATCAAAATATTATCCAATTTACACTTTTGAATTCGTTTAAACCGTTTATCATAAATATCCATACCACTCTGAAAATAATACCGCTAAAAAAAGGTCTATTTCGGAAGTGCCCACACATTCCACTGCTGTTTTCGTTTCTGTCTCATGGATATACGGCATTAGACATACCTATACCACGATCAAATTTCTTTAACCTTTTTGGACCTTAATTAGTAGATAATTGTTTAAGCGATCGCCACATAATGCAGTATCTAACATGGACATTTTTAAAGCCAAATGTTTATACAAAATCGTTTATACTCTTTACATATCAACACCCAGGAATACCTGAATCTCTCGGTACACAATATATCAATTTGACAAATCACTTACAGTATCAATGTTTTTCGCACAGCAGCTGATTTTGGACGACGTTCACGCGGTTCGTGGATGAGCAAATTACGACGACGATTGAATTAATAACCAGTGACAACTAGTCGTCTAATAAAATCTGAATGGACTAATATCTCGATACGTCTAAGTCGTAAATTCGTAGCTTAGTGTTTTCGTGGTTTTTTGCATTTCTTTGAAAAACGACTTTTGAGTTACTGACAATATCGCTATATTGTTAGTAACTCAAAAGTCGTTTTTCAAAGAAATCGTATCTATAATATGAAATACTAGTGGACGCCCGCGACTTCGTCCGCGTGGAAGTCGGTATCCCGTGGGAGTGAGAAGTTTTCCCAGTAAAAAGTACCCTATGTGTTATTCTGATGTATAACCTATATTGCTGTAAAGTTTTATCCAAATCCGTCCAGTAGTTTTTTCGTGAAAGAGTAACAAACATCCATACATCCATACTTACAAACTTTCGCCTTTATAATATTAATAGGATTGTCGCTACAATATTTCATAACTTGTATATGAAAAACATGAAACGACGTCTGTCAATTATTTGCAGAGTTACGCGAACTATACAAATAAACATAGACGTAACTCCTACAGTAAATCGGAAAACGCGGTATTATGAAGCTATTAGAAGCTTTACAACTTCTTTTTATGAGATCCTAACCGTTGATTATACATGGAGTCGAAGAATTTTTATAATCCTTTTTATATTGTAAATAAAATACTTATAAACAAAAAAATGGGTAAAACAAATAATTCAGATATACAGAGTTAAAATTTTTCATGCTAAGAAGTTGCGAAGAATTATTCTCAGAAACATGAAGCGTCGGTGCTTGACAAAATTTAATAACGATATTATTATACATTTATGAAAGTGGTGTACACAGAATTAGTTTTCGAGCAGACTGGATGGAGTCAGACGGATCATTTGTCATTTAGCCACGCAGTGTACATACATATGTTGTGTGACTTGTGTATGCTACGTTTACACGCACTTAGGGGCGTTGATCGATATGCATATCAGAAAGTAAAGAATCTTAAACATACGCAACCACAATCTATTTACAATTTATAATATATGTCTTCAATGATTTATACACAATAGATATTGTTTGTTGTTGTTTTCCCTTTTTACAATCCAGTAGTTTAGAGCTTTTTCAATGCAACCAAAAAACAAATCTTCGTTTTTATAATATTAATTTAGATATACAAGTTATTTTAAGTACTTCCAAACGAAATTATTTGAGAACGAACGAACGTAACAGGAAAATATTTGAATTCAAGAAATGAAGCTGAAATTTGAACGATTATTATATTTAGACGAACTCCGTAGCCGAGTGGTTCGCATGCCGGTTTCAAGGTGTTGCCATCTCTGAGGTACCGACTTCAATTCCCGGTCGGGTCAATGTAGAAAGTGATTTTTTCCATATTATCTGTGATCTTGGTGTTATGGTACCTTCATTGTTTCAGGTATTCCATAATACGGGGGCTTTAGCTACTCATCTTGGAACCTGACCAATATAAATACGAGATGTTGTCTTATATTTATTTATTATTATTTGATCAATTATGCGTTTACAATGCAAAATTGATATATATTAAAAAAAAATTAAGGTAATAGATTTTTTAAATATTTCTCATTAAATACTGGTATATTATAACGATTACTTGAATATTCTATTACCTTAACAGACATCGTGAATACGTCTGAATATGTGGTGGCCGGACTCCTGAATAAATAATACTAACAGTTGGAGCAGAGCCGACTTCTGATTAAATATTTTAATTGTAAATATGTTCGGGTACCCACTGTGATTTATCTCATTTGACTTTGAATGAAAGATTTATTATTTAACAATTACACACGAATAAAAAACTTATGTTTTAATTGAAATCCCTGTATTACCACACATTAAGTATATTCACATCTATACTAATCTTATAAATAGTAAAGATTTGTTTGTTTACATTAAATAGGCTCCCAAACTAAAGGACCTAGTTTAAAAATTCTTCGGGAAGCTATATAATGCGCGGTGCGGGTGACAGGCTACATTTTACGCGGGCGAAGTCGCAGAAAAGTCGCTATTCATTATCATTATAATCAGGCCCTTTAAGGCTTCACTGCAGGGGCACACGCCTTCCTTAAGGATGCTTATGGAGGAAGGGCCATAATCCTCCTCGCTTACACAATTGAGATTGGAGGATATTAACTACTGCAAATAAAGCCGAGACCAACGGCTTAAAGTACCTTCCGAAGCACAGAGTAGTTCTCGAGATAATAATTTTTGGTCACCCATCCGGTGACAGACCCTTGCAAAACTTGCTCAACAACAATGACCGCGGGCCGGGTAGTATCCATTACGCCACCAAGCTACTCGCCAACAAGTAGTATTGTGATACAATAAATATAACAATAAAACATAAAGCACGGAAGAGGAGCTCGAGATAATAAAATTTTGGTAGCCATTCCACGAGCGAGCAGCCTTTTGCGAAAGTTGTTTAACACCCGCGTCGCAGACCGAACGAGCTAACGACTGCGCCATTTTATTTCTTATATTTTAGGATATCCGCATTAAAATGCGTGATCTACATCGTATATAACAAAGTCGCTTTCTCTGTCCCTATACAATTATATATGCTTAAATTTTTAAAACAACGCAACGAATTTTGATGAGGTTTTTTTTCATAGATAGGATGATTTAAAAGGAAGGTTTTTATGTATAATACAAGACCACGTGGGCGAAGCTGCTGGCGGATAGCTGGTATCTAAAATAATAGCGACTATTGTATTACTGAAGTAAATAAATTTGGGGTGAATTTTGCAGATATGTATGTTTTGAGAGCCACGTGCGTTCATATTGGGTAATATTAGGAATTGCATTTGTCGGTTGATAGTTCTATAAAGGATTTAATAATTTTTTCAATGAAGCACTGGCATCGCCTCATAAGCGTAGTCGTTAATATTGTCGAAAATCAAATACGGTAGCCACACAGAGTGTGTTACTGTTGATTCAGAACCCGAGAAACATGTTTGACAAACTACAATTCTATATTCGTGATCTGACAATACTTTTTTTTATATATATATTGGATTGGATTTTTTGCAATAGGATGTCATTTTTCTTTGTCAGGTTGATTATTGAAGAATTATAAACACGTATTTTCTACGTAACCAATAAATTGTACATTTTCTACATAGGTGTGACGAGCGATACCCCACACCTCGACTTTAATGCCTATTATAAAAAAAAAGAAACAAATATTGGAGATACATTTTTTTCATAATTTAGTCCAAAGACTAAGTAAATTTTTCCTTATTCCCAGTCGGGTCAATGTAAAAAAATAACTTTTCTATATTGTCTCGAGTCATACGAGTACCTTTGTTGTTTCAGATATCCATAATACAAGAGTTTTAGCAACTTCACTTTGGATCTGAGCAATGTAGTTAACAGCTCGTCAGGCTATACAAATATGTCAAATTTTTACACTTGATTTTTAATCTAAGGCTGGAGTTCACCGACAGGTGGTCAAATTAAGAAATCGGTCGTTGATATTGTAATCGTTGTTGAAACAGCAATGAGGAAGTATATTTAAAAAAAAAACGAAAGCACTAAAACAGCACCTCCACTAGATGGCGACTCTAGCAAAAATTGTTTTTTGCAGGAAACGAATGGACTAAAGACAGTCATTTGCGTTCCTTTTTACTTAAAAAACTGAAATTAGAAAAGTTCAAAACTCACAGATGTGTTCATAGGGAACAAATGTGCTTTTTTAAATACTTCCTCATTAAAAAAAGCTGATTAAGTACTAATCAGTTGATTAGAAAGTCAGTGGACTCCAGCCTAAATGCATTACAGGTAGTCCAAAATCAATTTTCACAAACTGTAGTAACCTGACGTGCAGCCGTGTATGTGTGATGTGTCTAATATTTATTTATTATGCTAAAATATCAAATAAGTACGAATAAAACTATAGAACTGAGAATATTTCATGTGTATCCTACAGTACATATATTAAATATATTTAGTGTTTGTACTTTTGACAAATTAATATGATTACCCAAAGACTATACAAAACGTTAACAAAAAAAAAAAAAAAAAAAACACTGTATAAATACACAACGCTTACACAATGGTTGTTACTAAAGGCCTATATTAAAAATTCACTTACTGTGATGGTGATGTGTCATCACGATGGCGAGTGGACATTCGTCGTCGTCCAGTATATACTCAGAATTGTCGGTTGTATCCACCTAAAACAATAAGGAATGTTAGTCAAATGTTCTGTATATTTATTTAATTTGAGTATTCGTTTAAAATAGATTTAAGTTTATTTATTATATTTTTGGAAAATACATATACAGTGGTGGCCATATGTATAATAAAGAACGATTTGTAGTTATAGAAAGTTTTAAATGAAACTTTTTAAATATTACTTTTATTTGTATTTATTTATGTATTCAAAGAGCCAGTTAGTTAAGATAAACTAAACTAGGGTATACATATAAAAGTAGTAATTCTTTTTTTGCAAAACTATATTTGTTGTAGACAGTATTATAGTATATGATACCGAAGCTGGACAAATAATTAGAAATGATACGCTTAAGCTGTTGGTAAAATGTTGGTTAAAATTACCAACAATGTAGGAAGATTTTGGAGTATCACAATAATAAAAAAATAATACATGCAAAAAGCTATTTGTTTTTTTATGTTAATGTACTATTTTCAAGGGTGCGTTCTTAATTATATGGCCGCCACTGTATATGTCGTTCTTAGTGTGGATGGAGGATTGGATTTCCAACCCATCGTTATATCCATACGCAGTCTTTATATTAGTAATTACTATATATTGTTCGTGGAACTTGATGGCGCAGTGGTTAGCGCGCTCGGTCTGCAATACGTTTGTTAAACAACTTTCGCAAGGGTCGGTCATAGGATGGGTGACCAAAAATTTACAATCCCGAAGGCACGTTAAGCCATTAATCCACGCTGAATCTGCAGTCGTGAACACCCACCAATCCGCACTGGGCCCGCGGGTTGTTCATGACCTATTCTCCCTATTCAAATTTGATTCGATTCCATCCATAGGGAAGGCCTAAGTCAATAATATAATATTTCAATATGCTGCCACTATTTTAAGAACAGAACAATTGCAATGCACTTGTTATGATACCTATAATCCAGTATAAATTATAATCTGCAGCATTATCAAAAGCCAGATAAATTATTTACTAATAAAAAAAGAAACGCTATAGTATCACTTATTGAAAGTACAATGGTATCATCTACGATCCTATCTCTCTTCAGTCGTAACACAATCGAAGCATGTGAGTATATAACAGGTATATGCATTGCACAATACCAAATGGACCTATTGCACGATTCCCACGGCCTCGGAAGTTTACCGGAGATTATATAATCAACGATAGTTCGAAATATTTACACTACAAACAATTATACATGTATTTCTACTACCGATACGAATTATAAAATTCTTTTACTTTTCGAAAGCAAAAGAATTTTTATCATGTTGATGTTTGATATCAATATTTATAAGATTATTATATCAAATTAAAAAGACAGTTCATTATTCATTCGCTTTCAAAATAATGTGGTGTGGTGGGATTGGGATGCTGTCTGTTCTTTTTAACCCTCATCTCATGGACGTTTACGGTTCACTGGATAGTGACGTCACAAATCTATCTCGACTATATATTTATTTTTATATGATTAAAGTTTAAATACTCACACTAAAATAAATATTAAAATGTATTAATTCGCACTCTTCTTTTTTATTCGAATTTAAGATTACATTTATCTTTAGAAATTATGACATGCTTTGTATTCTGATGTATACCGATACAGCAATCAGATTAAAAAAGATTTTTTTTCTTAAAAAGTTTATAGGGCTTTGAAGATTATTGGTCGATATTTTTTTACCATAAACTAGCGAATCCGTTTTGTTGCGATCTTTGTTGCAAACAGTGAATGAGCAAGGTCAGATCTTTTGGTAGCGGCTAATAAATAATAATATCGTTATATATTAATAATAATTCTTAGACATAACAAACACATTAACGGTCAACTTAGCGATAATTTAAAACAAACCATTGACATCATTACGTGAATGGTCAGTTACGTTTTGACAAATAACAAATGAACGAAGAACGGAGCTCTCACAATGTAAGCTGTCAGTTGCGTTTTATTTTAACACACTAGTGTTAAAATGATCCGTCATGAAATGATATTGGTATATCATCATGGATATTTTGTCTCTTTTATTATTATTTTTATAGGTGAAAAATCATATTTTAACAAAAAATAATATAAAAGTAGTCCAGCTGTTCTCGAGTTATAAACGTTGTAACTGACACTTACTAACTTTTAATTATTAGCTGAGATATATTTTTAAATCGAGAATCAAAATTAGAATTTTTCTATATCTTTAGTCTACCTCTCGCGTGATATGAAACCCCAATCAGAACGCCTGACGTCATTCGTGAGTAATTTGGGAACAAGGTATCTAGGAAAAGCACGGGAAAAGTTCAGTATATTTAATTTGACTCACAAGTTTGTAAAGTTTGCAATGCAGGTTAATATATATATATTTTTTTTTATAATTTAACAAAAGAGTAAGTATATATTAGGGCAAAAAAGCCCACTATCCCATTTTTTGTCGGACTATGTGAGAACGTTGGCAGATTTAGGTTTAACGGAAAGTCCGATAGATGGCGTGACTATGTAAAAGCGATGTAGGTCATGTCAATATATATTTTTCTAAATTGGTATGACATAATATATGACTATATTATTTTACACATAGAAATTTTAAAAATAATTTTTATTTTCTAAGTGTATTTACTCCATCTACGTGTGTTACGCAGATAGAATAAAAAAATGTTTATTTAAATATCACTAGGATCAATGCAAATTCTACAATCTTATCTTATTCTTTCTGTTCTTCTATCAAACTGTCTTTGTAGTATACTTTTCAACGTATTTCATTAGTTTCCTCTAAACGAGCAAGACTTCAACATTACGCACCAATTATCACAATCACAATCACAATTATCTTACAATAGGGCTTCATTGAAATCAACAATTGTGTTGTGCTAAGTAACTCTAATCATTGTTTGGTTGCTCGACTCGCATCACTGTTCACGTTTCAGTTTACCGGGTAATACGTACGATGGCGCTAGTAAAAATGCTAACTGTCACTTGTATAGGAGTATCCTACCCCTGCATTTATGTCCAAGAAACAATGCAACCTTCTCACTGATCGTGAGACCTCATGCGGTTAATAAATAATTTCCTTAATATTATACAGTGCTATTAATAAACAAGGTTTTGCGTTGCAGCAAATATTACGCTGAAACTGCACTTAGTATTAGTCAAAATTCATATTATTAAACAGAGACTTAGCAAAGATTAACCTAGAACAAAGTTCATGGGAGTCAGATTTTGCTTATTCTCGGTATATTATGAATTTAGACGAATACTAAAATTTTAATTTTAGCGTAAATTTACTCGGACGCTTAATCTTGTTTATTAATAGCACTGTTAATAATAATAATAATCTTTATTTCACTTTTAAAATTACAGACAATGGTGACTATTTTAAGAGATTACAAGGAAGTTAGTAATATGAGCCACATCTCCCAAACTAGGGTCAACCTGAATTTTGGGAGTTGCGATTCCTCTAAAACATCTTTATTTATATATCCTTGAATCCAATTTTTTTTTCATAGTGTTAACAAGCTTGTTCATAATTTATGTGTAATCATGAGTCTGTAAGTGTATGTGTATCTATTTGTGTGTGAGTGAGTGAGTGTGTGTTAATGATTAACTGAGTATTTAATTTATATCAGAAAAGTTATATTTGTTTTATTTATGTATATGATTACAAAAACCGCATACAATATTTTTTTACTGAAATTCCCTTTTTTGTTTACCTCCCATACGAAGTCACATCCTCTGAGTTGCCGTTTATGAGGCTTTTTTAAGTGAATAAAATGTAAACATTTTTTATTGGGTAATGCAAGAAGGCTTATTTACAAAAAAAAATGCTTTAATGGCTAGCGACCAAAAAATACAGCTGAAAATCAGTGTCTGTTCCTTTATAGTATATCCAACACTGAGCCATATACCTCTTGGGCTACTGCTTTACACTTAGGTACGGTTGAGCACATCATTGTCTGTTGTTATTATAATTTTTCTACAGATCAACTGAGCATTTTACAACTGGTAATGTAGTGATAGTAGTGATCCATTGAATGAGTGTATACTTTACTGCATACAGTAAACATTGACATAAAACACATATTACAAGTAAAGGCCTTATTGCTAGGGTAGCAATTTCTACCAGGCTACCTTTGGCTAAGAGGAACTATACCAATTCAATAAAGAAACTGCGAGCTTGTGCATAAAAGAAATAAGAGTGACGAACAATTATAGAAGTAAATACATATTAACATAAAAAATAAAACAAAATAGAATCGAGTAATAGACAGAGTAGGTACTAGAGATACACTGAATATTCGTTTAGTATTCGGCAACTTTTTCACTATTCGTACTCGGCCGAATTATTCGGATTTTCGGGTTCGAGTATTTCTATTTTCTTGGCTACATGACACTGTATAGAACTAAAAGGCAAAACTTCTTATGGAAGATTTATGTCACAATTTAAGTCAAAGAAATCCTATGGATAATATGTATTGAAAACATTCTGCATAGGATTTCTTAGCTAATAAAATAAAGCATAAATATATATTTTATAAATTATAGTAACTTTAAAAATAAAAAAATATATACATATTTTAATATTTATAATTAATTGTAATTTATGGTGTACAAACACCAAGATCTCAGCCCTCTCCGGCAAATCTGTTAGGTTTTTTTTCATATAGGTTCCGAAATAATAGTTTAATAAAAGTTCCGGGTTTGCGCGCGTCTGACATTTAAAGGCAGCGAGTTCCACATCTTAGTAGCTCTGGTATAATATAACTTGGCTACTAAATCAGTTGTATGGGGAAGAATCACTACTATTAAACGGGTTTAAAAAAGAATGAGAATCAAATATTACTTTCAAATACATTAAAGAAAAAGTTGTCCAAAAACAGTTAAGCCATTTTGGAGATTTATGGAATCAAGCAGGTCATGCCGCGATAGGCTGTACTTATTCGACATCTTGTACGGTATTATCACACACAGATGTAGAACTAAACTAAACTATGCAGTAGTGAAGGAGGTGATGTCGTGAGAGGCTGTATTTGTAGAGTATCTATTACACAGAGATTTAGTACCTAAACTGTTCAGTAGTGATGGGGCATATTGCAAGATGCCGTATAGTCTAAGATCCGAACCTAAATCGACCTTCACCGGGTTGATAATGGAATAAAACTTATTATATAATTAATTTAGTATATTAGAAAATATATTAAAAATGGGTTCGCTAAAAAAATCCTGGACAGAATATATTATTTTAAAAAAAATATTTTTTTATTAAATGTTGCAACATCAAGATAATAAGAAAAATTTAATTCTGACTTAAAGTATAAAACATATAGAATGTGCAGACGTTGGGTTGTCTATTATTTACCTGGACGAACTACTGGGTTGTCAGGTGTAAACAGGTATATCGATGCCAGTTAATTTCACTTGATTTGATAATAAAAAAATTTTTATATCAACATAAGCGCTGTTTCATTACGAACACATTGATATAGGGTTGTCTGCAAAAAATTAGGTCCTAATACGGGTTTGCGAATTTTAAAAATTAAAATTTTAACGCGTGGGAAAGTGAGTGACAGAGAGATCCGAGGAAAGTATACCGTGTAATAGTAAAGGACCCAACATTGCAGTCGCATCTGATCGGACCCTGAATATATGAAAGTGCGCATGCTCGGAATGTAAAATATGGAGGGTGGAGGTATAGTAAACAGTGCACGTTATTTTGGAGTATGTTATTCTGTATTGTTGTGATAAAAAAATGGCTAAAAAGTGTTTTTGTGTGGTTCGGACGATTCTTTAAATGATTTTACTGTTGAAACTTTTAAAAATTGTTTGTTGAAGCTAGCTTTTCGTAAAAACAAAAACTTTAAATATCATGAAGTTGAGCTTACTAAAGCAGCGCTCGATTTTATAGGTTACCATATTACCTGTTATAAAAATACTTTCCTCGGATCTCTCTGTCACTCACTTTCCCACGCGTTAAAATTTTAATTTTTAAAATTCGCAAACCCGTATTAGGACCGAATTTTTTGCAGACAACCCTATATCAATGTGTTCGTAATGAAACAGCGCTTATGTTGATATAAAATTTTATTTTATTATCAAATCAAGTGAAATTAACTGGCATCGATATACCTGTTTACACCTGACAACCCAGTAGTTCGTCCAGGTAAATAATAGACAACCCAACGTCTGCACATTCTATATGTTTTATACTTTAAGTCAGAATTAAATTTTTCTTATTATCTTGATGTTGCAACATTTAATAAAAAAATATTTTTTTAAAAATAATTATAAATATTCTGTCCAGGATTTTTTTAGCGAACCCATTTTTAATATATTTTCTAATGTACTAAATTAATTATACAATAAGTTTTATTCCATTATCAACCCGGTGAAGGTCGATTTAGGTTCGGATCTTCTACTAGTACCTCTTCAGTATCTTGTGTGGTACTATTATACATAGATGTAGTACCTGAACTATGCAGTAGTGATGGGGGTCGTGTCTTGATAGGCCGTACTTGTCGAGCATCTCTCTCACCACCGCTGCCGCCGTGTCACCAACGGATACCAGTAGTGTCTTATATGGAACGTCTGGGCACAGCGATGAGCCGTATATCTTCAATGTCCCACCTGTGACAAAAAATAATTCGTGCATTTTTTCACTTGAGATTCTTAATAATCTTATCTTTTCGGTTTACAACTATCAATACCCTCTCCCTCTTCCCGGTTAAGAAAAAATAATTATTGTCTATCTCCACTCCCCCCTCGGCCTCCTGCATAAATAATCTTACGTATTTCTTTTTATTGGCATGAATTTGAATACGTTCAGCCGTGTATCACATATATAGTGTATTTAAAATCAAGCCGAATATATTTAGTCTTACGCAATAATTATTCAATTAGGGTGGGATGATGTTCAGTTAACACTGTAGAGCGATTCTGAAACAATACGAACCCGAATTCGAATCCACTGAGGTCACTTAACTCACTTCTAAAGCGAATCTGCTTAACCTTGAATTGCTATTCTCTATACCTTTCGTTGCAAAAGTGAGTTTTGAAATGATGGTATATCTAAGGTATGTATGAATCATCAATCAATTTTTTATTTTATACAAAAAAAAACGGAATAAAAAGCATATTCTACACTAATATATCTAAATAGTAAAATCTACATTATATAATTCTGAAACTTGTTTCAGGCCAAATGCAATGATGTGAGCATTTATTATCCTATAGTACTCGACTGAGTATGTCTTCAATAATTACATTTGATCAGTTTTGCATTTTCAATGCCAAAAATATTCTTAATGAAAAATGCTTTAAAAAATCCACTTTGTCCCTGGTATTCCATCTCAGAGTACCAAGAACAAAGTGGATATTTTAAGCATTTTTCAATAAGAATATATATCTATTCTTTATTTTAAAGTGTAAAATAACTCAATGATGTTGACGTTCAAGCCTCTTCTCCTGCTGCATAAACTGGAATGCTTCCTTTAGGTTCTTGCTGCTAACCTGAATTACAGTGTTATCTGCAAATGTAGCAGTTAATACTCTGGAAGATCCGCGGTCAATACGGTGTAGAATATGGGTCCCAACACCGAACCCTGCGGTACTTCAGGTATATTAAATCTGGATATGTGCTTTCCATCTTTTACGTGAAAGATTCTCTCAGAATGATATGACTTCAGTATTCCAAAGGTGGTGTGTGACAGCAATCTTAATAAATCATTATGCCAGACTCTATCAAAAGCTTGTTCTATGTCCACTAAGACATATGAACAGTATTCTTTTAGTTACAGGAACTTTTTTATTTGATTGACAACTCTGTACTTACTCCACTATTTCGTGTTTTTGTCGGAATCCACACTGATGTTCAAGGATTACCGATCTAGCGTCTAGCATTTTCACTAGAAATATCTTCTCAAATAGCATAGAGGTAACCGGTAGCACGCTTATGGGTGGGATGGGGCTCAATTCATTGATGGATCTGTCCTCCATGTATATTATTGTAGTTTCAGAATACCTTCCAAATACTAGAATAATGACGGTAAATTTTAAGAATGAAAGTGGCTGGAATGATTTACGCCAAAATCTCACTTATTTTATCGCAATTCACTCCACGTTCGATCGAGTTATACAGAATTAGAAATTTGAACCTTACTGTGGATTCAGCTCTCCGATGTTAGAAATGTGTTTACAGAATCGCATTGCTGATCATTATTAATATGGTATATTATGTGTGATAGTTACCGGTATCTGGACCGCCGTCTTTGCTGCGGAATTGCTGCAACTTCCGCTCGAGCTTCTGCTGTCGTCGTCGCCGCATCACCGCTTCTGGGTTACTGATGCTGCGCGTGAACGAGGTCTCCGGCAATTCTGTCACAAGCGATAACACAGATCATACGATTATTAATTTACTAATATATCATATTTGACAAATATATTAGTTTTAATTAATTACTTGCAAATCATTACAATGATGATTGTAAGAGTTCTCAATCCTAACACTTAGTTACAAACTTACTCGGATTCGTATTTATAATTAACCCTATGATAAATAAATATCATAACGAGAAGATAGAACCAAATGATGAAAATTAGAGGTAGCTTATATTTATTAATTAGGAGTTGGTATATTAATAAAAAAAATTGTCAAACACACACACACATACAAAAGCAAAATACGCTATTTTGTCGACTTAGGCGGCAATATTTGGCGTCTAAGTGATTTGTTATTTGGCACAACTTTCCAGCTTTTTGATATTTAATCAAAACTAATAGGATTCAACAAGATGTTTAAAACCATCTCAGGGCAGATTTGAATAAAAAGATTAAAAAAAATCACTCTACAGTTCACAAAGAAATCGGTGTACATGCATACCATTCGAACAACCCCCTCAAGGAGGATAGAACCTCCTTTTAAGATGGTTAAAATTTATCGTAACTTCTCTATTGTAATTGTTTCCTCTAAAAACACACGTTTTCCTTTAAAAACTTAGAATTGTCAATCTACGAGTGTCAAGATTATCACATACCTGTGTATAGTTTTTCAGCAACCGGTCGATTTTCATCATTAGTGTCAGATTTTAACCTCGATAGCTTTTCTTTCTTTTTTAATTCTTTCTTTTCTCGTTTTGACAATTTTCGTTTAAAATTCTGGTCTGCTTTTTCATTAACTGTAGACAAAGGCACCTGGGAAAAAAATTTATCATGATACATTATTAATTTATAGAAAATTATCTTATTAAAAGGTTTAAATCTTCATATCATTAAAATTAATTGTGCCCCACAGGATAGGATAGCCCTAAGTTAAATAAAATAGAAATTTGTTACATATGCAATAAATGCATATAGTACATTCGCTAATTAGTTTGTTTCTAGCATTAAGCCACAAATGGTACAATGGAAGTAAAATAATCCCTATATTATTGCTAGTATGGTGTTTTTATGAATCATAAAAGTTTATATTAATGACACTTAAAAAGTTCTCAGTAATATAATTTCAACTTAAGGTTCGACAATTGCAAACATTATGCACAGTTAAGTCGTTAATGCTTAATTAGATAAAACACATTAAGACAAGTTTTCGTTTAATAAAATATTAATACTAGAACTTTAAAAACGAGATATAATGAGAATTTAAAAAAGAAACAACTAAAAATAATGTCACTAGATAGCGGTACAATGATCGACACATTACTGTCAATTAAAAAACCAACCTCCGTAGCGAAATGGCTCTCTCTCTATTTAACAATATATTCCCATTAGATCACTCAGTCTCTGTATCGCTGTGAAAATATGTATACAAAGGACTGACGACATAATATGGTGGTCATCACTTTCATTTTTTTTTATTGTCAATAACCCTATTCTTGACATAAAACGACGACTGAAGATAAAATGAACAAAAAACAATAATTTTCGTTCCCCTAGCATCGATGCAAATCTCGACAGAAGATCCGTTAATTGCGACACACAAGCATACATTATTAAGCGACGGAACATTCGCCTAGTGCCACTGCATACACTACGGGGTTTAATGTCATTTTAATGCAATTTATTTCCCATGAATGTGGTAAAGTAAATTGACACATACCTCATTATTAGTAAGGCACTTGAGCAGGAATCTTCCCTCGCGGTCCTCTGTGTGCCAGTTAAGTTGTACGAGCAGTGGTTTCTCGTGCGGCTCAAGACGGCGCTCGTCGTCAGGCCCGTGGGTCTCCCACAGCGAGTACGAGCCCAGCGACAGCATTCGCATGTCCGGACGGAACTTCTCGATCAGCGTTTCTGCACAACGAATAAATGTTTTAAAGTAACGAATATAACGTCCATGTAGACCGAGGTAACCTTGCAACGTATTTAACGCGTGAAACAGCGTGTTTTGTGCATCTCTTGGTCGACCACGGCGACAGATCAGTCACTACTCATACCAAACACTTAAATTATTCTCAGGGCAGATATATGCCGAAATTACTTGGTTTTTATTTAATTAAAGGCTAAATAATATAGCCCATACAGCCGAGCCTGCGGGCGCATTTCTGTTTCGTGAAAACATTGATACTTTATGCTACCATACTTAATTGAATATATATGTCGTAGCCAAAGGGTATAATCAGTCAACCAACTGGGCGGCTAGCCCTTCAATGAAATTGAATGACACCATTCAATTAAAGGACTAGCCGCCCAATTGGTCGGCTGATTATACCATTTGGCTGCGACATATATACCATATACTGACAGAATTTGCTAACATTCTAACATCTATATTTTTAAATACTTTGAATAAAAAGATTTTGAAAGGGTTTGGGGTGACATAATTATCCTGATAAATATACCTTGATATTTATGTTCATGATTATAAAACACAAAACTATTTTTGTACTTTATATCTGTTCTGGTAGAGAAAATTGTATAAGATGGACCTAAAAAACCCCAAAAAACAATTAAAGCTTTTATTTTAAAAATATTATAGTTTCACATTTAGATCAATGTGATTTCATATTGCTACGATGAAAAGAAGGATAATATTATTAACTATAATTTTAAGCACAATAAACAACGCAAGAACATATTATTAATATTTTTTTTATGTTTTTAAATTGTCGCCAGTAACTATAATTATTCTGGTAAATATTATCATGACAATTATCTAAAAAAATAATTATCATGAACCCTCAATTAATAAACTGCTTTTATATTTTTTTACAATTCATATCATTACATTTTAAAACTTAAATAAAAATTAAGTGTTGAAAAATTATTTTTATCAATGTATGCTTCTTTTTATAAATAAATATTTTTTTATCAATCTTTACTTCAAATTGTGTATGTACGCTAAAAATTACTATATATGAAACAATATCTTATCATTTCAAATATAAATGAGGTAGTTAGTCTTATTACCTCATTTTAAAGCAAAAGTAACGGTAACCAGGATCTAAACTTTGAAACAAATTAATTTATTAACATTGAAGTCATAGAGTTGCAATTGAATTGGCAAAATGTGACAATCTAATTAAATATATGGTGATAACCTCTATTGACCTTTTTTAATGTTTTTAACCTTATGACGTTTGATATAGAATTGACAGATTGGCCAGTTGTAAATCGTCTGTTCCCATGTCGGAAAATAAACAAAACTGTTATATAAAAAAACATCTAAGAATGTTATATTTTATAAAGCATTAGAATAATATATTTTTTTTATAATTATTCCAATTCGACTTCAATATTCTTAACTAATACAGGACAACAACGTCTGTCCAGTGAACCTAGTTAATTATATATTTTGGGTAAGAATAAAATTAAAAGTTCAAAAAGATTGTGAGAAAAACACCAAAGGATAAAATAATTAAATATTGTAAGGGTTTGGCCGTGTTTTAGTTTTACTATTTAGTCAAAAACTTAGCTTTAATTAAATCTCACTCTGAACATAAGCGACACGACATATACTTCATTTTCTACAAACATCTATAAAAATAACAGATGAATTTTCTCAAAGACCAGGTATCTTTACCTCTGTAATAATCCTTTTTTGTGAGTCTTAAGATAGCGTAAGTTAGTTTTTATTGCTAGAATTGACCGTTTATGGTTTATACAACACTGAATAATTGATAGTTAATCTTGCTTGTACCCTAAAATTTCGATTATTGTGTAGTCTAAATAATCCGATATATTTATCGAAGGCAAGTGTTGATTGTAATCTGTAAGTGCACCTACTTCAAATAAATAAATAACAACAGATAATCGTAATTTGTTTACAGACAGAAAGAGTTGATTTTACAAACCAAATGAAATACAGTCAATTTTAAGTTTTTTAGTGTAAAAGTATTGTTTCTGTGTCGTCATTACCTATAACATCGCTCACAGTCGCATCCGACGCTACACGTATGCATTTTGTAGCTATCTTCTGACCTGAGTCTTGAAAATAGAAACGCATCACACCATGGAACTCCAAATTCTGTAAATAGTATAAAATACCTTTAGTGATAACGGAAACGAAACGTACCGCTTAAAAATAAATGTTTATCGTAAAGATAACATTATCTATGTTCGTGCAAAACAAATATACATATACGTTAAAAGAACTATTGAATCCTTTAAAATGAACAAAAGGGAAAGGATTTCTGCTGCTACGAAAGAGTTTTTATTTACGAGTACATTTTTTCAACCTGTGAAATTATTTTTCTTAAAATATCCTAGTCGTTCTAGTTATGCCATGTAGCGTTTTAGCTTCACAAAACCCAAGACTTAAGACCCGAATACTCGTTATAATCTAAGTACGTAACCTCAACATACTCGCCGAACGGAATCTTATGATAACCTCGTGTTCCTTAATTAAAACTGGAACTTATAATCATCACATACGTTCAACAGTTTTCAATAGAATATAATACTCGAGATCCTCGATGGCGCAATGCGTTGCGGGGGCTAAGTAATTTTCATAGGGGCTGCTCATAGGATGGGTAACTAAACATTCAGCTTATACAAATTTGTCAATTTTCTCCACTTGATTTCAAACCTTAATACATTCCAGGTACATTTCAAAATCCATTGACATATTGTGGTAACCTGACGTGAAGCCGTGTGTACATATAAGGTTTACACAAAACAAAATCCGTTAAGACAAATAATACAATGCACAGTATGCACTATCGGTAAATTATTTATGTTCGCAAGATCTAAGTGCACTGGTGTGCTGGTATAGGGAATATTACCTCGTTCGGTTCGCTGAGTTCGAACAGATCGAGACGGTTCGCGTTCCACTGCTGGATCATGGTGCGGAGCGCCTCGCGATCCAGCATGCGCTTGTCCGCCGCATCCATCCTGTCACCGCATCAAGTCCACCTGAGAAAACCATAAAATCTATATCATTATTACGTTCTCCATTTCTCGGCTATAGCAGCCAGAGGAGGTCAAAATATTTCAATATACATCGGCATCATAAGATCGTCATAAGTTTAAAACCGAGGATCATATATGGAAAGAATCATGAGTATCAGGGAAGTGAAACAGGAATGTAAAGTCCGTGCCTTATGATGCTCGGTTCTCAACGCTTACTTCGCAACGCAGATTTGGCGTATAGATAATAATATAGATAAAATTTTCGATAGCAATAATATTAATTACATAAAAGTTATACAGTGGCGAACTGCAACACACTGAGTTGAAAATCTTAAATACAAAATGTTAAATGAGCAGTTCCGCGGATACGTGTATAACGCAATCCTCGCCTTAGGAAAAAAAAAATATTAATTTCAATTGCTTAAAAATTCGGGACTTGAAAAATTCTTGCGCCGAAATAAAACTACATGCATTAATTACAAGTAAATTATAGACTATGTGAATGAATTTTTGAAGTCGTTTTGGTAGTTACGGAGCCTATTCAATGCAAACAAACAAATCTTTATAATATTAGTATAGATAAGACAATGGGTCTTTAAAGTTTCGCTTTCCGTTTTACTGGAAATGAAACGTAAGTTTACTAAGCGCAGTAACTTGAAAAGACACATTCACGTCGAGATTCGAACATTATCTACTTTTCTATTTTTAATGACTTTTAACATTGTAATTTATTTAAACACTAGCTTTCCGCCAGCGGCTTCACCCGCGTGGTCTATACATATAAAACCTTCCTTTTGAATCACCCTATCTATGAAAAAAAAAAACGCATCAAAATCCGTTGCGTAGTTTTAAAGATTTAAGCATACAGGGATATAGGGACAGGTAAAGCGACTGTTTAATACTATGTAGAGATTTTGCGAATGGTATTAATAATTTTATTCAATAATAGATTTTTGTAACAATTATATTTGTAATTTAATAATTTTCACATTTGGTATATGACTTTGTAATTTTATCATCAACATTTGCATGCTATTGCTGATGGCTAAATGAGCTGAACTCAAATTGTATTTCAATCTGCAGTGTACCTCAATTAAAATCAAATCAATTATTATTGTTAATATTATTATTATTTTTATCATTGTAGTTTCTTCATAGAAGTATCTGATCAATGGATTACAGTCATAAGTATATCAGAGAATAATAGCGTAACTAAGGTTAGCGTCTCAAACAATAGATTCAGATACAAATTACTTCCTGTACACATTTTATCATTTTAAATTGCTACTTACGGACTATCGAATCGTTGTTGATTATTCGCTGAAATCTCCAATTTTAGATCACAAAATTATAATATTACAAATCATGATAAATATATATATATTTTAAAAGTATCTATTGAAAACACAGGTAGAACATTAACGTATAGATATATCTAATGGCTGTATTCCGTTAAAAGGTTTCTACTATAAGAGATTTGCACGCAGAGAAAGTCATGGATAGAATCTAGCGAGTCAATTATATCAATAATCAAATAACAATCGGTCGTTTAGATAAGTTAGAGATAAAATAATAAATCAATAAGTATTATAAATCCACTATACAATTAAATGAATAAACAATTAAACTCTTGAACGAAATTGTAATTATTGTTTTAAGTTTTGAAATGTCTTTAAATTAAATTTGTTAAGATATTTCAGAACCTTCAGGGCTGTCCATTAATCACGTGAGGCTCGAAGGGGGATGAGGAAGTTCATCAAAAATCACGATATATCACAAGGGGGGAGGGGAGTGTAGTAATATATCACGTGTATTTCGTCAAAAACGCGATTACTAAACCGGCGGCGTCAAAATTTAAGATTTTTTATGGTTACTAAAAATACACGTGATTTGGTTGGAGGAGTGGGGAGGTGGGTTCGTATTAATCCTCACCATGTGTCACCAAGGAAGAGGGGGGGGTTAAAAAATGCGGATTATGAAACGATGATTGCCACTCTGCTCTGTAGCCTCATCTCTGGGATAAGATCTAAAAATGAGCGATTAGAACATGGATTACCGGAATTTTCTTTTCGTTCTAGAGCACTAAGCTTTTTGATCACCTCGATCAAAGGTTAAAAGTTATAAATAGTGTGCGCTTTAACAAAATATGGCTATACACACACGGCTGCATGTCAGGTTACCACAATATATCACATTTCTAACCTTAAAATATTAAAGTTTAGAAACGAGTGGGGAAATGTTGACAGTTTTGTATGATCTGACTGCACGAGTGCATAAAGGAATTAAAATATAAGTGATACCCCTATTTTAACGAACTCCACAATAATTAACGTAAAATAGCAATACATAGTCTACAAATTTAGTATGAGTTATATAAGTGGAAAGTACTTACGAAATAAGTGAAACAGAGAAACGGTAAATCAAATAGTAAAGGCAACGGTTTGTTGGGCGCTAGCTAATCACAAAAGGAGGTCACTCGGTTATACTTATCGAATACAATAGTACTTACTTTCAATTATGGGAAAACTCTTTAATATCCGTAACGGATTTAAAAGTCAACCGCTGTGACTACATAAAAAGGGTGTTAATCACCATCAAACAAAACTCTGATCTTACAAGAAAGATATTGTTACTCTTATGGAAAATATGTAAAGAATGTACGGTTTCCAACTATTCTACATTGTAGAAATATTAGAAGTGGGCGTTTCTGGCATATACATAGTAAGTGCGGACGCACCAACACGTATATCGTTCCTATTTTATAACGTAAACATATGGCCCTGCTCTGGCGTAGCCAGCACCGGTGCCGCTGCCGTAAATACCGGCCAATTTAATGTGCCCCTGTAAATATTGCCATCATTATAACCGATCAATAGATACGAAAAAGTTTAGGCTAAAATTTACAGATTCCAAGATTTTTGGACACCTTTTTATAAATTATAATTTTAGATAGATAATAATAATTTTAGTTACTAGTTTTATATTCGCATTAATTTTGTAGATGTATATGGAGAATAACATGTTCAATTACATTATTTTAGAAAATTGCCGATATAGACGAGAATAAAATCACGCGGCGTCACTTGCGACTGGGCGACATTTTGCGAGGTAATCTGGATTTTTTATTGTACTGTTCACAAATCACAGTACAAAACCATCAACAAGCACCCTCTCACACTCTATGGTTGATCCGTCCGTTATTATCATACTTTCGTCCTTTTTGCGCCGACCCTAAACATGTTTAAAAGCCTCACTGTTACGATTATATGTTCTTGATTTCCAAATATACAATACATATGTGCAATGCACATTATACTGAGTGGTGTTTTCATCAATAGCGGCAGCACCCACCACGCCGCATTCCACACGTGTCCGAAGAACGAGTACAGCGAACGTTTCGCGTTACTCGGAAACATGTTCCTATTTCAATTTTCATCCGAAACCAGTTTATTAGTGTTAGCCCGCCAGAAACCGAAACAGCCGTCAGCGTTGTTATGGTTGGATTCGTTTCCGCTATAGGTAGCTGCAACTCTTGAGCCACATGCACTTAGGCACGGAACGAGGAACCGCATACCGTTCAAAACACGAATCGTTGACTTGTAAAAATAAACACACCGACTCTAACCATAACACATAGGTAGGAAGAGAAATTTTGAATTACATTTCAATTCTTTCTTATATTTTTGCTAATATATCTCAATCGGAGACGTAGTCTAATTATAATGGTTCGAATTATCAATATATTCCGTATATTAAAGTTCTATTCTGATCTAGGGTTGCCATCAGTCCGGCTTTCCCCAGATATAACCAAGTACCGAGAGCATTCATTTAAATCTCATTCAAATACCTCCTTACTGTATAGATATAACTTTAAGTTTTCGTGCACTATCATCGTTCGCAGACAAACACGGTAGCGTCTTTCTGTGTTCTGTGGTCACTGCGTTTTAAAAGATCAATTGTAATTTGCCCACAGAACTATAATAAAATTTCAGCCTAAGAGCTTACAAGAAGCCTATGATATTCCTAGAAGCTTTTATACCTTCTGTCCTACACCAAACATCCGTTATGATCGCAATACAGATGATCATTTTAGATTAAGGGATCAGAACAGAATAACACTCACAATCGTAAAATCACTTTGTTGACCGAGTTAAAACTATAGTCGATACGTTAATCAAATCTTACAATATCGACGAAAAAGTTTTTAGTTATGTCTGCGACGCAGTTGTAAATGTTAACGAGGTGCATGCATAGAATTCATAACGCACATAAGTTTAGATGCCAAAACAAATGTGAAGGAGTTGTCAATGGTGCCGGAACTTCACGGTTGAACGCCGACCTTGCCCCTTCCTGCGTCCGCCAGGCAGACCGAACGATCTAGCAGACCACGGCAAGCTAGATCACTTCTTTGTGTCTATTTTACTCATACAACTATAGGTTTGAACTACCAAATAATTTACCAAAAAAAATACGTACTGTCAGATGAACTATTCCGTTTCCATAGGCAAGACATAATACTGCACAATAAGTTAAAGACACCAGATGTTACACATACCATCCGCGGGATATGATATCCAGTCAGCATAATTTTATCGACATGTAATTGACATTATACTTCATCCAATGTACCTGAATTCCAGTAAAAACAACATGAAATATATTTTTATTTCATTATTTTTTTACTAAAGGTTTTTTAATGAAATTATCTGTTTATAAGTCCTAAGATATTATGCAACACTATCGTCCCTCGAAATAATGAAATAATATTTAGCAATTTATAAAATAAAATCCTATCTACGTACTTAAACAAATATTCTAGTAAAATATTCTAGAATATATACGGAATCTGCATAACTCAAAGGAACAGAGGCGTAAACATAAAATGAACTTCATGGTAAATTCATAACTTTCTCCCGACAATTATTCTTTATAAGTACCACATTAATCCTTTGTATAGGTCAAAACAACTTAAGTGCATGCA